TTTGCACGCCTTCTTCCACGAGGCCGGTTGAGTCCTAGGTGCAGGTGTTGTGTTGTTGACACAGCAGCTTTGGCTCAGGAGCTCAGGTAGTTGTTATCTACAGTTTGATTAGTTGTGGCTTTCTGTAATGGCCTCTTGCTGCTGCCAAAAGAAGCTTCCTTATCTGGGTCTGTGCCATGTATGGTGGCCATGGGGTCCCTGGTAGAAGGCAGGGCTGGGCTTGGTGGCCAGACTGAAAGGAATGGAGATGGGCTGACCAGAAATCCTTTACAATGTCGTGTTTTCCACATCCTCCCATTGAGTTAAGGTGCTCTATCTGGGGTCGTGACCTAGAGTTTATAAAGAGCTGGGACATAATGACACTCTCATCTCCTACTTTCTGAGTGTGACTGAAAACCATTTAGAAAGGAGGAGGAGGCATGGGTATAGATCAGGGGTCACATTGCAAGCAGACAAAAGCAAAACCTTGTAGTGTGTTACAGAAATTCCTTCCTTTTAGGACACAATGAAATTCCATTATACGTTGTCATGGTTTGAATAAACATCCTTCTGAAGTCCATGGGTTAAAGATTTGGGCTCAGGGTGATGATGTTGGGAGGTGGTGAGACCTTTACAGCTGGAGTCTTGAGGTCCTTAGGTCATAAGGAGTGTCCCTCCAAAAAGGATTTTGAGACCTTCAGTGGACCTCATTCCTCTTTTATACCTGGTTTGTGATGGATCATTTTTGTTCACCACAGTCTCTTTGCTGTTTGGCCCAATAGACTCTCTTAGCCTTGGCCTGACCTTTCCAAACACAGCCAGAGTAACCTTTTCTCATTATGTATTAAGTCTTTCAGTTATTTTGTTATAGGACAGGAAACTAACACACACACATAAACGTCCTTTATCTGTCACTGGACATTGAAGCTTGCTTCTCCTTTTAGTTATGTGAACGATGTGAATGTAGGTGCAGATACCTCTTTAGGATTTTGTTTTCAGTTCTTTGTATATTCTCTGAGATGTGGAATCCCTAGATGAAAAAGGGCACTCTGTTTAAATATTTTAGGAATTGCCATATGGTTTTCCAAAGTAACTATACTGTTCTACATCCTCTCTTTTTATTTTGTTTGGATAATAACACTAACTGTAAAAAAATGAATTGGCATCTCATTGTGGTTTTCAGTTATTACTTTAATTTCCATAACTACTGTATTGAAGATCTTTCCCTGTGATTATTAGCCGTTTGTATATCATTTAAAGCATGTATTTTATTATTTGGTGTGCATGTCATGCGCACTCATGGGATCCTGCATGCTTCGGCGTGGAGTTCAGAGGACAGGTTGTGTAAGGTGCTCAGTTCTGCCCCTCACTGAGATTGTTCTCACATTTGCTGCCTCCTGCACTCCGTGCCTGTGGGCCTGAAAACCTCGGCTGACTCTTGGTCTCTGTCTCCCATCTCACTGTAGGAATGTTGAGATGAAAAGCGGATGCACCTGCATCTGGCTTTTTCTGTGAGTTCTGGGGTCATCTTTGGGAAGTGAGGCTTGCCCATGTTTTCGCCTGTTGACCCACCTTGACCCACGTTGTAGCTAGAGTTTTCCTGCCTTACCCTCAGTCAGGACAAATCTTTGTCACCCGCCACTCCCACAGCCGCTCAGACCCAACCAAGTAAACACAGAGACTTATATTGCTTACAAACTGTATGGCTGTGGTAGGCTTCTTGCTAACTGTTCTTATAGCTTAAATTAATCCATTTCCATAAATCTATACCTTGCCACATGGCTGGTGGCTTACCGGCATCTTCACATGCTGCTGGTCATGGCAGTGTCTGGCAGTGTCTCTCTCCTCAGCCTTCCGCTTCCCTGAATTCTCCTCTCTCCTTGTCCCACCTACTTCCTGCCTGGCCACTGGCCAATCAGTGTTTTATTTATTGACCAATCAGAGCAATTTGACATACAGACCATCCCACAGCACCACGTTGGTTTGTCTTTGAGGAAATACCTATTCTGGTCCTTTGCCTTTAAAAAAAAATGTTTTTCTTTTGTTGTTGATTTTTAAGAGTTTTCTGTATATTTTGGAAATTATTGTTTGATCACAAAATAACTTGCATTTTGTTATTTTGGTTATTCCACAGATTTAAGGAACAGTTCATGAAGTCCCACATTCATGTTCTCTTTTGTGCTTGTATCCTTCTGGTTGTCCACGTGTGAAGCTCTGACTGTCCTTCTTTTCTACTCGTGGTTTGTATTTAGTCTCACATTGAAATCCTTGATCCATTTTGAGTTTCTATGTGGATATGGTGCTACATGTTGAAAAGATTCTTCTTTCTCTATTAAATGGTTTTGATACTCTTGTTAAAAATCATGTGACTAGGTATACCTAGGCTATTTCTGGGATCATCATTCTATTCCATCATCTGTATGTCTTTCCTTATACCAGTAAATAGTAAGATTTCAAATTAGGAAATGACGCTTGCAGTTTGTTCAGACTGTTCTTTAGCCCAGGCTGGCCTGGGAAGGCTGGAAGCCATGACAGTTCTACCTCAGCTGCTGAGTTATGAGATTACAGGTGGGAACCTTCACCTAGCTTGGGCCCATTAATTTTAACATTTTTTCTTTGTTTCTTCATTACATTACTGAGACTTTGATGGAGATCACATTGAATCTGTAGATTGTTTGGGTAGCATGGGCATCTTAGCAGGAAGTCTGAACGTGGCCATGGGATACATTTCCTCTTTGATTTCCTTCAATAGTGTTTCCTGGCTCTCACTGTATAAATCTTTCACGTGGTTAATTCCTACGTGCTTTATTCTTTTGATGTTAGTGTAAGTGGAATTTTTTTTGTAATTTCCTTTTTAGAAATGCTAATAATTTTTGTGTGTTTATTTTGTACTTTGTCTCTTGCTACTTTGCTAAAGCTACTCATTCTCACAGTTTTTTAGTGTCATTGTTGTCCTGCAAACAGATCATTTTAATTCTTACAGTTCCTGTCTTGCTTCATTGCCCTGCCTAGAACCCTGTAGTGCTCTAGAAATGGCAGGAGCAGTTATCCGTGCTTGTTTCTGACTTAGTGGAGAAGCTTCCTCAGTCACTCATGGTGCTCCGTGTGCTTTGAGATGGTGCCCCTTCTTTTAGTCCTTAGCTTGCTGTGTGTTGTCATCATACTTTATTAAATTAAACTTTGCTGTTTAATCAGTTAGCTTTCCTGTTAATGGTTGAAGTGGTTTCTTTTCTGTCATTCTGTTAAGATAGTATATTTCATTGTGTAAATTTTGTATGTTGCACCATCCTTCAACTTGAGAAATAAATTTCATTTGATCATGTTATATAAAATCCTTTCAGTCTTCTGTTTCCTTGTATTTGCCAGTATTTTATTATGGATTTGCATTAATGTGCAGAAAAGAGTGCTGTTCTGTATTTTCTTACGGTGTCCATTTCCATCCCTGGTCTCAGCATAATGCATTAATAAAACAAGTTTTCTAAGTGTGCCTTCCCTTTTCTGATTTTTAGAAAGGTTTGAGAAGTTGAATCAAGAAATTTTCTCCCCACCTTCTTCTAGTGTAGTTTTTGTGTTCCAACATAATATCCACTCAACTGGCTCCATATCATTAGACCTCAGTAAAATGCCTTTCAGGGGTGGGGGCTGGAGGTATAGCTTAGAGTCAGTGCATGCTTATAAAGTGTGAGTCCTTGGGTCAGCCTCAGGGCATCTCCCCATCTCCACACTCTTCTCAACATGCTATAAACCATGAAACCCAAATAGCCTCTCAGATATGCCTGAATATCCAAAGATGCATCTCCACCCTCCTCTGGTTCTCTGCCGCATTTTCCTGTGGTATTTGTCGCTGACCTTTTTTCTTATGCTGCCACCTGTTTTCTGTCAAATTATGCCTTTCTCTGTACCTAGAACATAAGCTCAGACATTTATGTTTGATGCGATTATGTAAGCATAGGTAAGTCATTGGACATTGGTGATTAAGTCGCATGTCATAAGATGGGCTGAGAATCCAACCCTCTGATAGCATGGTTGTTTCCTCTGGTGACCATTTCCTATTAATTGTTCAGGGTTCCACCAAAAGTCATTTTCATTAGTATGAAAGAGTTATATTATGAATTAAAAAAGAGGAGCCAGAGATATACCATAGTTCAGTTGGTAGAGTGCTTGTGCTTATGTATGAAGCCCTGGTGCAGCCATGCGTCCCTGAAGGCCCAGCACTCAGGAGGTCCATGCAGCAGACCAGAGGTTCAGGTCATCTGCAGCTCGATAGCAAGCTTTGAGCTACCTTGGGTTTCATGAGTGTCTGACTGTCTGTCTGTTTCTCTCTCTCTCTCTCTCTCTCTCTCTCTCTCTCTCTCTCTCGTGTGTGTGTGTGTGTGTCCGTGTGTGTGTGTCCCCTTTCATCTCTTTTGTTCAGCAAATTACAAGGGATTTAGAAAATCTTTTCTAATAATAGGAACCTAGAAAGAAGAGCAAATATTTACTTATTGTTATTTCAGAATATCATGCTACACTCTAGGATTTTTCAAAAAGGTGAAAAACATATTATAGTGGCTCAAAGGGAAATGTTGACTTCTGGTCAAGGTGATTCTTGGGATATGCATTTTTACTTTATGAGTGTCATAGATAATTGTGAAGAATTTAATATTCCATTCTTCAGTAAAGTATGTAATCATAAAATGACAGTATTATGTGGCGGGCAGGAATTTTGTGATTTATTAGTCTTGATCTTTTTTGTAGGGGTTTAATGACGGTTAGAAAGAAGCCCTTGTGCCAGGCGGTGGTGGTGCAGCCGTTAATCCTGGCACTCAGAAGGCAGGAGCAGGCGGATCTCTTAGTTCGAGGCCAGCCTGGGCTAGAGAGCCAGATTAGGACAGCCAGGGCTACACAGAGAAGCCTTGTTTTGAAAAACAAACAACAAAAACAACAACAAGAAAGGAAGAATGAACGTGTTACTAATGTTGTCCTCTGTGACTCTATCTGATATGACATTTCATCACAATTTTAAAAATATTCCTTTCCAGTTGACAGAAGATGAAATTGCAACTATTCTAAAATCTACATTGAAAGGATTAGAATATTTGCATTTTATGAGGAAAATACACAGAGATATAAAAGCTGGGAATATTCTCCTCAATACAGAAGGACATGCAAAGCTTGCAGATTTTGGAGTGGCTGGCCAGTTAACAGTAAGTTGACTTTAATAATTTGGATATATTTTTGACTGTTTTCAGACTTGATTTTGACTAAACTGATATTCAGAAAGTATGGAAGGATAACTTCGTTATTCTTATGGAGAAGAAGCCATGTTTGAGTCTATTTATGATGTTAGGGTCAGTAGATAATAAAAGACATTTTATCACCAAAATGCTCAAGTTTATGAAAGAGAAACAATATTGAGTCTTTTTGTACTGGTTTTCATTGCTTTTGTTATTATACTATTTCAATGACTATCTCTAGTGAGATGATGAAGAGTTAAAAGCTCTTGGTCATTTTACAGTTAAAGGTTCCTACAGTATGTCATTCTATAACTAGTTGAAACATTTGGAAAATAGTTAATTTTTAATAGGATCTATGTTAATTGGGATCACACGTTGGTACACCTGTCTCCTTTGTGTTTTGTGTGTATTTATTCTTATGTAATATTATTGCAGGACACAATGGCCAAACGCAATACTGTGATAGGAACCCCATTTTGGATGGCTCCTGAGGTAATTCAAGAAATAGGTTACAACTGTGTGGCTGACATCTGGTCCCTTGGCATCACTTCTATAGAGATGGCAGAAGGGAAACCCCCTTATGCTGACATACATCCAATGAGGGTAAGGAGATGGTGTTCTGCGGAAAGCATTGGTTTTGAGTCTTGCAGTTTTGTAATGGTAGCAAACACAAAGCAAATGCATTCTTTAGATTCTGTGCAGAAGGAATAGACTGTTAAAAATGAGTAACTGTTGCTTTTCTACTTTATTTCACTATATAATTACTTGGAAGACAAGAACTCTGAGGGCCATTTATCTCCCACAAGCACTATTTCTTCCATCCCAAATAATGCCCACAAGATCCTTGCTTTTCAATAGGGAAATGTATTGTTTCTTTGTTCTTTAGCTCATTACTTTCCAAAGGCTGCCGGAAAGGATTTGAGAAATCTCCCCCACTTTCCCACACAGTCCTCAGCTCCTCCCTTTCTGTGCCTTTCCTTCCTTCTGTGTTATTTAAGCTGATATGAAAAAGTCCCAGTGGGCTGGAGAATGGCTCTGTGGTTAAGAGCACTGCTGCTCTTCCAGAGGACCCGGGTTCAATTCCCAGCACCCACGTGGAGGCTCACAGCTGTCTGTAACTGCATTCATGGGTTCCGTCATCTTCTGACCTCTGTGTCCACCAGGCATAGATGTCATTACACAGACAGGCGTGTAGGAAAAAACCCAAGCATGTAAAATAAACATTTGGAAGTCCTTGTGTTCAGTGTTGCTAACTATCTGTAAGGGAACTAGGTATATTTCTTTAGTTGATTGATTATTTAAAAATACACTTTTTTTTTCTTTTGCTCACCATTACCTGCCTCCATGAAGTCCTCCCTATGATAATCTTTGCATTTGAAGTATATACTGTGTACAGTCAAGTCTCGCTTGCTGTGCTGTAGGATTTGTAATGACACAGTTTTTAAATCACAGTAACATGTGACTCTAGCATGGCTGTGTACTTTGCTCTTTGTAAATGCTTATTGCCATCTAGTGGCTTCAGTTTCCCTAGGAAGGCTGTGGGAGTGAAGGAGGGAGGAGGGTGTGTATGCGTCACAGAAAAGACAGGGTGACTTGGCGAGGCAAGCAAAGCAAATGCAGGAAGAAAGAAGAGGATGCCTTCCAATATCTAATGAGGAGTAAATTGGAATTATGTTTAACATTACAAGGATACAGATAAATACAGTATTGCAAATATGTATAAATCTATATGCCATATTGAGACACATTACCAGACAGCTTATTTTAGTGGTACGGTTGTATTCCGTTTGTGGTTTGCAGTTCCTCCAAAGGATCAGATAAGTTCTAGAGGTGAGTCTTACATTAAAACTACTCTGTTTCTACCCATTGTGAATCTTTTCCAAACAAATGGTTCAGCACATTAAAAGTCCCTCAGCCAGATTGAAAAGATTGTAGTATGTGGCTCTTGCTTTAATGATCTTAAAACTCACTTGAGTTTGAATTCATAGTTATAAATTGTAAAAATGTATTAGAATATAGTATTTCGTTTGGGGGGCACCCAGGTAGGGGGATCAGGATCTGTCCCTGGTGCATGGGCAGGCTTCTGGGAATCCGGTGCCTGTGGTGTGATGCCTTGCACAGCCTTGGTGCAGTGGGAAGGGGCTTGGACCTGCCTAGGCTCAGTGAGCTGGGCTCTACTGATTCCCCATGGGAGATCTCTATTTGGGAGTTGTGGGGATGCGGGGTGGCTTGGGAAAGAGGGCTGGGGGATGGGAGAAGGGAGAAGGAGGGATCTGTGGATAACATGAGTAGAAAATTTCTTAATAAAGAAAAATAAAATAAAATAAAAAAATTAACACAGCTGAAAAAAACATAGTATTTCTCTTTTTAAAATATCTAGATGTACTGTATATATTGCAAACTTCTTCCTAGGATGCCTTGGTCTCTCTCTTTTTTCTTAATCATCATTTTAAGTCCTGCCAGGTTTTGAAGTCCCAACTCAGGTTTTATTTGTTTGTTTGTTTGTTTAATATGTATTGCATTTTGCCTGAGTGTATGTCTGGTGTGTGCCTGTTGTTCAGGCTAGAAAAGGGCATCAGGTCCTCTGAGACTAGAGGTATAGATGATTGTGAGCTGCCATGTTGGTGCTGGGAACCAAACCTGGAAGAGCAGCCAGTGCTTATCCATTTCTTCATCTGCTCAGATTGTACTTAGATATATGGGGCTTCCTTGACCACAGTCTGTACAGACTTCTGTTTTTCTCCTAATTTGCATACAGAACACAATTGACTCTGGATTTTGGATGGTTGCCTTATGCATTTGAGAATGTAATGTGGTTATAGGATGCTTTGTAAATGGTGTTGGATCTTCCTGTGTTGTGATATATTTCACAGCCTGAGTGCTAAAGCGCAGTGTTGGGAAACAGCGAGGCATGTAGGAGATTGACATCCGGAACCGAGTCCTCAGTTGAAAGGCCTCTCATTTTCCTTGAAATGGTCATGCTTACTTGGGTTTTGGTTTTCCATTAGGTCCTTAGAAAACAGTTGTCTTTGGTTTGCTTGTGACTCAGTGCTTTTCCTTAGCTAATCATAGCCTAACTCTGTGCTTTATGCTTATTGCATTTGTCACACAGATTATGAAACTATGGTGTCTAGGGTATATAGTTAATAAAGCTAATAACAAAATAATAAAATAGTAACCTGTACAGTCTCATCCAATTATCAGTGGTTTGGGGTGTGTGTGTGTGTGTGTGTGTGTGTGTGTGTGTGTGTGTGTGTGTGAGAGAGAGAGAGTATTGAGGGGGTGTTTAAGATAAAAGAGCCTTCTGAGAGTGAAAAAAAAAAGGCCCTAACTAGAATTGGACAGCGAAAAAATGTATTTGAAAGTGTTATTATATCACTAGATAGTTCAGATGAAACCTTTAAGGAAAGGGTTACATTATTTGTTAATATGACTTAACCTGTCAGTAGCATAGTCAGAATTTGAACTCAGGGATTGAACTGAGGTCATTAGGCTAGGCTGCAAATACCCTTAACAGCTTAGCCATCTTGTTGCCCCCAGCCATTCTTAATAGGCGTCTGGCCCTACCAACCACATGTAATAAGAACCCTACTTAATAGTGGTGCTGACTTCCAAGACTGATGTGAGATTAGGCTTTTGTTGTCATTTGCTTAGATATCTCATGTTTTTTCCATGCCTTATAGTGTGATGTGACTGATATTTAAGAATTTTGAGACCTGAGTCAGTTGTCTGTGAATTAGTGGTAATGGCTCCATTGTACTTCATAGAGTTGTTTAAGTTCAATGAGGTATCCGGGAAATGCACTTAAACATAAAAGAAAATAGAATTGTTAGCATTTTGTAGTTACTTTTCAGTTTTTGTAAATGATTCAGGTTCTTAAAAATTCCTATTTAACACTAGTCACCATCGTTCTTAGGGAGCTTTTGCTGTGGGAAAACGAGCACCTCTTTATTCAGCTGACTGTGGTGTCGGTCCAGGAGGACAGTGAATGGATCGGGACCCTGCGTGGTACCCAAGGCCTTACTCTGCTCACACGACTTCTGCACATGCTGCTGGAAGCAGTATGGAATCAGTGGGCCATGCAGACAGAGATACGTTTTCTCCCCTTTCTAATGGTGATGAATGGAGTTTGTTTGTTTTTAAATATGGGTTTATGTGTATGAGTGCACGTTTGTGTGTGTGTGTGTGTGTGTGTGTGTGTGTGCGCGCTTCTGTCCTGTTTGAGGAGTCTCTTGTTCTCAACTGCTTACCCCAAGCTAATTGGCCTTTGGACTCCCAGGGATTCTCTTGTCTCTGCTCCTCATCCCCCTGTAAGGTGCTCTGGTTACAAGTGGCTCTTACTGTGTCTGGCTTTAATGGATTCTGGGGGTTGGTGGTGTCTAAATTCAGGTCCTCATGCTTGTGTGGCAAGTGTCTTGCCCATTTCCCTAGCCCCCAGGGTTTTCTTTTTCCTCGACTTTTCACTTTTACCTGCTGTCTAGCCCAGTGATAGAAACCATGCCTGATCACAGAAGTGTAAAATGAGCTTTTCCTACAGCAGAGAATTCAATCAACTGGGCCCCTGAGAGTGCCCTTCAATACTGGTGTTTGGTAGGATGTGCATTTTTGTAAGATAGGTTTTTAAAGGAATTTTTTGTTACATATATTGATTTGTCTGTGTTGGGGACACAATTTATGTATAGAAGTCAGGACAATGTGGCTCTCTCTTTTCACCATGTGGCACTCAAGGATTAACTCAGGTTGTTAGTTGTGACAGCAGGTGTCTTTTCCTATTGAGTGATCTCACTGACCCAGTTTATACTTTTGATCAAATGAAAATAGGGGCTTCTGGAAGCAAGGACTCCTTTATCCAGAGTGATTGAGAATTGTGTGCTCAACAGTAAGGATATCATGGCCCTCACAGAAATTTATGGTTTTTTTTCACTATTTGCTTTATCACAGTATACAATAATTCTGCATTTTAGTCTGAAATACACACACACACACACACACACACACACACACACACACACACATTTCATATTGTATGGACATGGCATCCATATCTTCTTGTATTATTATTATTATTAGGTTAATATTAATATTATTAGGTTAACCCAGCTGCTCAAAACTGTTTCCTTGTCTTGTTGGGTGTGGTGGACGCCTTTAATCCCAGCACTTTGAAAGCAGAGGAGAGTAGAGATCGAGGCCAGCCTGGTCTGTATGCTGAGATTTGCCTCAAAAAACAAAACAAAACAACCCTTTCTCTAAATTCTTCTATCATATTATATGAATAATGTATGTAACAGCACTTTTTAATGAGGCATTTGTCTTATATTTCCTGTTAGAGCTTAGTTTTAAAGGAAATGAGCTTCATATTTATTTTGAATTGAAGCTGGCAGAATGACCTATATATAAAAGTATTCAGTAAATATTTTTGTTAAGTGAATGTGAGCTAAGTTCTCTTTCTATCTGGAAGATACTTCTGTGATGTTAGTATTGAAATCTGGTGAGCTCAGACTCTTCTTTTTTACAATAATAAATGTTTTACCTAAAACTTAGGGCCAGGGGAATAAACAAAAACTTGAGTGTAAATGCTAATAAAGTACAGCTTGAAACACCCA